TATATATATTAAAAACACAGGTGATTTTTAGTGATGTGAGTGGATTTGGGTTTATTCACCGCCAAAGTAGCAAGTTAGCTAGCAGGCATCGATTTCATATAACGTTAGTAGTGATATGAAATGATAGCGTGCGTTGATTTAATTGATATTCATTCATAGATACAAAATGTTTTTTTTTTCCAAATTATGTTGTCTTGCATACTTATATTTAATACGTTCGTTATTATGAAGATAAATACACGGATAACTCATCTGACAGTTTTCAGGAACCGATTGGTATTAAATCTCATATATTACTAATCTGTCATGTATCATTTAAATTCGCCAAGCATTGTAATTATTATTATTTTTAAGATATCCCTGTTGGAGTTGAACTTTCTACCAACTACTGGGACCAAACTTACCAAACAGCAGCTTATCCTTGCCAGTGAGTATTTATGGCAGCATTTTAATTGATGTTTTGAAGTATTTTTATTTTTAAAATGTATTATTAATAATATTTAATTGTTGTTTGTAGGAGATGTTCTGGAGATTGGAGCACTATGGAGCATTCTGAAGAAAGACATCCCCTCCTTTGAACGCTACATGGCTCAGCTGAAGTGTTATTACTTTGATTACAAGTAATACATTTTTTTGGTCTTGCATCATCTGTTTACTTGCTATCACTCAGAATTTACTTAATATGGGCTAACAATAGTTGTGCTGAAATCACATATTGCATTCTACACAATATACCTTTTCAACATGTTATACCCTGATTTATTTATTTATTTATTTTTGCTGGCTTTTTCTTTGCTCTCATTTCTTGTTAAATGTCACAGGGATGAGTTGCCTGAGTCAGCCTACAGGCACCAGTTGCTGGGTCTCAACTTGCTCTTCCTGCTGTCTCAGAACAGAGTGTCTGAGTTCCACACAGAGCTGGAAAGACTGAGCGCAAAAGTCATCCAGACAAATGTCTACATCAGACATCCAGTTTCATTAGAGCAGGTGTGGGACACTTTTTTTTTCTCTCTTGTTACTTATAAGAATATCTCTTTGGATTTGAGACTTTAGTCTTTGCAACTTTACAGATCTTCTTTATGCACCAAGAGCTTGTAACACTCCAAAGAGAAAGGAAAACTTGAAATCGCATCATATGACCCCTTTAAATGCATACGGCTGGCAGTTTCTGTTTTTTTTTCCCCTACCTTTTTGTTTCTTTATTTCAGTATCTGATGGAGGGCAGTTACAACAAGGTATTCCTTGCCAAAGGAAATATTCCTGCTGAGAGCTACACCTTCTTCATTGACATTCTTCTTGATACGATTCGGTAGGGGTTATTTGTAGTCTTACTGACTAATTGTAAATGTTGAACTATGTCATTAAAATGTTGTTGTTTGTTTTTGTTTGTAGAGATGAGATTGCAGGTTGTATAGAAAAAGCTTATGAACAAATTCAATTCAGTGAGGCCACACGGGTGCTTTTCTTTTCCTCTCCGAAAAAGATGACAGAATATGCGAAGAAAGTAAGTGTTTGATGTGTTTGTGAAATATTTTCACTAGGCCTGTCACAATCGTGAATTTTGGGATTAACTGTCATACAAATATTTGCTTTTGTTTGTCACATGAAGTGCAATTTTGTAATTAATTTTTTTACTTGGAATCATATGTAACAAAATAATACAAATTTTAAAAAAAATTTAAAGATACAAAATGTACTCACTCTGAGGCCATCCAAGATGTAGATGAGTTTGTTTGTTCATCAGAAAAGATTTGGAGAAACTGAGCATTACATCACTTGCTCAGCAATGGATCATCTGCAGTGAATGGGTGCCGTCAGAATGAGAGTCCAAACAGCTGATAAAAACATCATGTAATCCACAAGTTATCTACACGACTCCAGTCCATCAATTCATGTCTTATAAATCAAAAATCTGCATGTTTGTAAGAAACAAATCCTTAAGACGTTTTTTCCTTCAAACTGTTGTTTCTGGCTAAAATACGAGTCCTCTATCCATAACTTCACTACCTCCAAATGTTGTCTTGTCTGAATCCGGAGAGAACTATGCAAAGATCAAGCACCGTTAACAAGCGTAAACAAATATGTTTGTGGTTTGGCATGAAAAAAAAATGTGAAAAGTTAAAATTCCTTAAAGATGAACTTTTGAACAAGGGGCTTTTCACTTCACAGTATGTTAATGGATGGACTGGAGTTTTGTGGATTGTGATGTTTTTATCAGCTGTTTGGACTATCATTCTGACGGCACCCATTCACTGCAGAGGAACCATTAGTGAGCAAATGATGTCATGATAACTTTCTCCAAATCTGTTCCCATGAAGAAACAAACTGATCTATATCTTGGATGCTCTGAGGGCAAGTAAATATTATTCATTTTTTTTGGATGGATACTAATATGTTCATGGTTTGGCTTTTGTGCTCTGCAGAGAGGCTGGACTCAGAGTCCTGATGGATACTATTCATTCAGTACCCAGCATCAAAAAACAGAGGAAGTGACCATCCCCTCCACAGAACTGGCCCAACAAGTCATCGAGTATGCAAGGCAGCTGGAAATGATTGTGTAGTGTGGATATAACAGTGTTTAGACACATGTATACATAAAGGTTCACATTTGTTTATCCAAATATACAAATAAAACCATTGTACAGTGGCCATATATCTGTACTCAGTTTAGACACAGGATGACACGGCTGCAAATAATGACTCTCAGAGGACGAGACCAGAACTCTTTAGCTTACAAGTTATCAATATCTACCTGTATCAGGGTCTCTGTATGATTATCTGCTGGGTGTGTCAACCCTCCTGCATTACTGACGAACATCTAATGACTGGGTCTCTTTTTTTTTTTTCTAAATAATCATTTAATATGTCTTATTTTGAATATTCACATGTTGTTCCTCTCAACAAGGATGGCTTTTAGCTAGAGTGAGCTTGTGTAAAAATGAAAAAAAGACAATTGGCCTGGCTGGTATTGTCACAAGACATTGACGTTTCTGATGAATAAAGCGTTTTTCTGATTCTTTTACAAAATGCTTTCTGAAACACTGTATAAGTAACGTTATTGATATTGTGTTAGATGCAGCAACTACTGTGAAACTGTCTCAAATGCAAAAAAAAAAAAAAAGTGAGGTAAGTAGTTCATTTGTCTTCTAAACTGATAAAATATTGTCTGAACTTTAACAGAAGGAAGTCAACATTTGTAACGGATGCTGTAGAGTGGCTCATACTCATAGTCTGCTTCATGTTCAGGCTAGACAACCAAGGTTACAGTTGCATTAAGATGCACATTTATGCACGTTTAACATTTAGAGGCAGGTCAGCATTCAAACAGTGTTTGCTGTACATGTGCCAGTGCCCCTCAGGATGTACTTTTGTCATGTTTGTTTTACTTCTTTTTAATTTCATAATTGCATTTTGTTTTGTTTGGGACTTTGCATATGCTTAGGCAGTTTTTTTTTTTCTTGGCCTTTTTTGCCAGGGCAGCCTTGAGGGGAAGTCGTGGCCTAATGGTTAGAGAGTCGGACTCGTAACCCAAAGGTTGCGGGTTCGAGTCTCGTACCGGCAGGGATTGTAGGTGGGGGGAGTGAATGTACAGTGCTCTCTCCCACCTTCAATACCACGACTGAGGTGCCCTTGAGCAAGGCACCGAACCCCCAACTGCTCCCCGGGTGCCGCAGCATAAATGGCTGCCCACTGCTCCGGGTGTGTGTTCACGGTGTGTGTGTGTTCACTGCTGTGTGTGTGCACTTAGGATGGGTTAAATGCAGAGCACTAATTCCTAGTATGGGTCACCATACTTGGCCACGTCACGTCACTTTTTGGGGCATTGAGGAGTAGGGTGAAGGGTAGTTGAGCATAGATAGTTCTCAAGATGTCCATGGATTTGTGGTGGTATCATGGTCTATCCTCAAATGCACCACCCACTTACTAAAGGAATCGTCACTGGTGTCTAAGAAGACTAAGTGGAGGAGTTGGGAGAATCATCTACAGCAGGGGTCTTCAACCCTGCTCCTGGTGACCCACTGTCCTGTAGAGTTTAGCTCCAACCTGAATCAAACACACATGGCCTAAACATCGGTTAGCTTTCATTCTCTCCTGTGCAGGGTTGACCTCTAGTTGGGAAGCGTCTTTTGACAATACAGATGAGCCTCTCGTTTTATAAATATTCAATTCTATAAAAGAAAACCATTCAGAAACATGTCCAGGTTATGTTTAATCCAATAAGGTATAGGTACAATGTGTGCTGTCTAATAAAAGATCTGCCCTTGTTAGCACAGACTTTAACCTTTCCACTCTTGGATCCTGTTGAGGGCCCTTCCTCTCTGTAAGGTTTTAATTTAACCGTGTGTTATTGTGAATACGGCAGCCAACATGTTGGAAATACACCGGTCAACATGTTCATTATAACATCTCGTGCATATGGATTATAGACAGATTTAAGTATTATAGGAGAGAATGGGATTTGTAGTCCCAGAAAAAAAAAAAAAAATTCTGTAATTCAACCTTGTATTTACTGGGATATAGCTTTTGTGAGAAATAGGTTTTTGGAACCAGAACATTATCACATTATCTCTACTACTGTAACCTAAATTCAATAAACTGGACTAAACCAATACAGTTTAAATAGTAGACTAAATTCTTTTGTTGGAATATGTCTAGTGTGTTAGATTTCATTTAGGCAATTGATTATTCCGTTGATTTTTGTTCAACAGGAAAAAAAAAAATCTATTGTTCACATTTTTTATTTGGTAATTGTCCATACACACAAAATGTATTTCATTTTATTTATTTATTTATTGGGTAGATATGAATTTAATTAGAAGGAAAACAGACATTTAACTTGAATAATACTGATATATGTACAGTACATGCATTATTCCAATTATTAAACTAATACTTTTATTTTTCGTGTAAAATTTCTATTTTAGAAACCAATGACTACAACACTAAAAAGCAAAGAGAGGAGCTTTTGATGAATGAATGGTATTTATGTAGGCTATGGCATTTTTGTGCATAGATTTGCATATGATAAAAAAGTAACCTATTTTTTTTTTTTAAAGAATAAATGTTACAGAAAAAAACAATAGCGATAATATAAGCCTAATTGAACAACTAAAATAGAATAATATTCGTCAGTAATGTCAGTTTTGAACGATCGATGAAACAAAAACACCTCCAAACAGAGAAATTCTAAACATTCCCGGCCTATATTGATGATTCCTCGTATAATTTCCGTTCTTTAGCGAACGTTATTTTTTTAACTGTTTCATATTGGAATTAACCCGCTCAATTAAATTCGCGCGCAAACATTCATTAGACAACTGATGATATTTGACAATATAATTTTAAAATAGCAAACTATTTAAGCACTACCGTGCTGTAACTTCGTGTACTTTATCCAAACGGTTGAACGGGAGCGAGACGGGCTGTTTATTTGAGTAAGAAAGGCTCGACGCTGGCGTGGCTGTTTATCAATGGTGGGCTATCAGTGAACATGAATGGGGAGTTGCTGGAGATGAATGGAGACTAGCTGCTGTGAATACCGTCATGGCGTATAGAGCTGTATGGGAGCTGTCCAAGGTACTGAGGCGTTATCCATCACTGATCTACACTAGATCAACCTGTGTTACTGTAGACTATTGATCATTTGCTATCTCTCTCTAACATTAGTAGCCACTCTCTTTTCAGATTTGACATTGGTGGCCATTTATAGAAGCAAATCGCTCCAAATGTCCTGACAGCCACAAAACTGGACCGATGCGGCTCCCACTCAGGGACACTGTGTCCATCCACGAGAGCGTTTAATATGAGTGTGTGAGAACTGCTGTACTAGACAGGTAGAAAGAGAGAGAGACAAATAGGGAGGGAGTGATTGAGAGAGAGAGAGAGTGAGTGAGAGAGAGGAAGGGAGGTAGGGACGGAGGGAGCGAGAGAGGGAGGACGATGATGATGATGCTGCCGGTGGAAAATGGCTGCTGCATCCTCGAGCCCATCCGAGACCATATGAAGGTGGACAGAGAAAGACGAGAAAATGAGAGCAGCGAGCACAAGGAGTGAGTGAACGAGAGACCGTGTGCGTGCGTATGTGAGCGAGAGTGTGAGAACGCGCGCGTGTGTGTGTGTGTGTGTGTGTGTGTGTGTATATGTGTGTGCGCGCGCGTGTGTGTGTATGAGTGTGAGAACGCGCGCGCGAGTGTGTGTGTGTGTGTTCGGTAAGAAGGGGAATAGAAAAGACGAGAGACCGGGGGGCAGCCAGCTCGAAGCGGCGGGCAACACCGAGCCATGGAGGGCGAGTAAGTCCATGCATTTTTATTTGACCAGAACAGACTGATTGATTTGCAGCACCTCTAATGGACTGTAAGATGCTCACGCCAGACCATCTGATGTTAGATGCTCATAAACACTATTACGCAGCTATGGCTATCAACACTGTACACCATATTCTCCATATACATCCAACATTTGATGAATAACGCCAGTGAATGGGCCTCAGCTGGAGTGCACTATATAAAACGCCTTCAGTGCCGCGTGAAAGACGAACACAGGGCGCAGTAAGAGACGGCTTTTTGTCTCGAGGATGGTGTGTGTGGAGGCTCCACGTATAACCACCAAATACATCCGTGAATTATAAAACGTGTCGATCCAAATCGGCGAAATATGGGGAGTTTTCTGGCGTCGGGAACACACTGGCGGGATGGAGGCGGAGAGGGATGCTTTTATCAACGCGTCTCGAGTTTCATTATGATTTTTAAAGCCAAACTTTATGAATGAAATGTGATTTTTCTCTCACCCCCCTCCTCCTCTTCATGTCTCCCCTCCCCCCAGCGCTTCTCTTCTTCTTCTTCTTGTCCATATCCTCCTTTCACCCACTCATCTGCCCATTGAATTTGCCGTGCTGTAGCATATATGTGGTTTTATTCATTCATAAAACAGCGGGATGAACGAATGAGTGCGCGTGGTGCAATGGCTTATAATAACTGATACCGTTTAATAACACAAACGGGGCTCTGAATCAAAATGGATGTGATTTCATAGCGTTTATTGTAATGGAGCTTGTCGGACTGGAAAACCGCTCTGAGGGCCTTGTATGGCGAATGGGCGCGTTCATTGATACATCTCAACTCTTCATCTCCCACCCTCTCCCTCATCATCTCCACACATTTCATTCCCCTCAGGCCATTCATTTATTTACGATTTCCTCCTTTGTGCTACTCCCTCATAGTAACATATGGAGCCATTATGTCCTCTGTTGTTTTATATCGGTCTCATTGTAAACGCGGAACGACTATATTAAAGACTTTTCTACAGAAACGAGCGATGGCTGGAAACGCTTGTTCCGTGTGAGCGCTGAAAGTGTTGATTAGATTTTCCTCGCCCACGTGACCGTCCATTAAAAAAAATCGCGCTGTTTCCTCTCATTGTTATAATCGTGCTTCGACTGTTTATGCATTCTGGACTGAACCTGTAGTTTAGGGAATACACAAAGCACACGTGACGTTGTGATTTAAGATTATTCAATCAATTTAACACAAACCAGTGCTTGCAACCACGCCACACCATCTTGTCTCAAGGCATCAATCAAAATTCTCCTGTATCCCCGCGTCTAGTTAAAATATGTAGTACTTACAGTAGCCTACATAATATTAAATGGCGATTTTTTTTTAAGCCCACGCATAAAATGTCCCTGTTACCTGACAGATATCACTAAAATGGGCGTCCAAATAAATCACACCTGTCTCTGTCACAGCGAAACTATTCGGGGGAGCGGCCCACCTTTATTTAGCGAATCAGAAACGTTCTCAGCCTGTCAGTCTTCTTGCTGGGGGCGGAGCTTTGGAAAGGGGGCGTGTCAATTTCATTAGCTAAGGGCGAATTCCAAACGGAAGTGAGCATCCCTGTGCCTTACTCCCTTTGAAGGGCAGAGCCCTTGAAATGTGTTCTTTGAAAGTTGTAGGGTATTACTGTCTCGTATAAGTGTTTGGAACTCCCTTGGCGAAGGGAATGACTGACCAAATGTTACCTTGAGGAGGCTGCGCTTGTGTGCAGCATTCAGCACTCCCATAATGTAGCAAAAGTCTGTGAGGTGCGTTTCCCTCCCAAAACCCCGATCTCCAGACAAACCTGGTTGCAATTGGCTTGAACTGGCTGGCTTTAAGTTTTCAACATTGATAAAAAAGAAGATTGTAGAAGGCATTTCACTACTAAGTACTTCCAAAATTTCAGTTAACATGAACTTATTTACATTTTAATGCATGTTCTTTGATGTGGCCATGTTCATCAGTGCATGCTATTTCTATTAATAAAATGTTTGCTTTTGTAATCTCTTTTACAGATGTAATGCGAAACATCCTTTCTTTTTATGATGCCCAACCACATTAACGTCCACTTTTCATGATCTAATAAACTTCAAATGGATAAAATCCAATGTACCACCTTACCTTTATTCTCACTGAATATTCAGTTTCACTCGGAAATATGTCTGGAAAGATTACAGAAGCAAAGTGGTTTACGAACATCATCATTTCAGTGGATATTGCAGGCCAATAATAGTACATCCTTACACATCTTCACACTGCATCTTTGTCTTTTCTCTATCAATTGTCAGTTTCCTTCATTTTGAGGCTATTTTAATATTTTATACTGATAGTTGTATTTTCTTCTTTAATTGCCTTTGTCTCAAAGTCTGTGTTTGTGTGTGTGGGTGTGTGTGTGTGTGTGTGTTTGTTTGCGTTCAGCTGGCTAGAGCACTCACTGCTTTCACTTCCCTAACAGTGTGCGTGTCCGAGCGGTGGTGATGACACGTGACGATTCTAGCGGTGGCTGGGTGCCCCTTGGAGGTGGCGGCCTCAGTCATGTGATCATATGTAAGGGGCGGAGCTCTGAAGGTCGTGGGCGGAGAGAGTACGTCATACGTGGAGAACGGCTACGCGATCGAGCAGTGAGTGTGTGCGTGTGTGTTCATGCCTGTCTTTGAGTGTACTGATGTTCCCTCAGCCTGACAGTCCTGGTAGTTGTGGTAATTTGGTAGTTGCCCTCATGAGTGGCCCGCAAGTGACCCGCCTCTTTTTTCGTGCAGCCTGTGCTGGAATGCGCCATTCAAAAGGGTCTGGTCTACAACAAGGTGAACCCCATCTTCCATCACTGGCGTGTGGAGGAGAGGAAGTTTGGTCTGACCTTCCAGAGCCCAGCTGACGCCATCTCCTTCGAGAGGGGGCTTCAAAGTGTCCTTGAGAAGCTGGACAGAGGTACAGAAGCAGCAAAAGTTAGTGAACAGGAAGCTGGAGTGAAAGAATTTAAAGGGGTCATATGATGTTGCTAAAAAGAAAATTTTTTTGTGTATTTGGTGCAATGAAATGTAGTTTAAGGTTAAAAAAACACATTATTTTCCACAATGTACATTATTGTTTCTCCTCTATGCCCCGCCTTTCTGAAACGCATCGATTTTTACAAAGCTCATCGGTCTGAAAAGCGAGGTGTGCTCTGATTGGCCAGCTATCCAGTGCGTTGTGATTGGCCGAATACCTCAAGCGTGTGACGGAAATGTTATGCCCCTCACCATACTGTGATGCCCTGTCTGGCCGGAGTGACGGGACAAAAACATTAAAACCCATTATAAACGAGGCATTTGTTGCATCCAGTGGGGACATAATTACGGATTATAATGACTTATACTGTCATTTTACGTGTTGCGTTGCATCGCGCCACGTAACGAAACACAGCGTCACACACGACGGGCTAGAGTGAGCGGAGGCCAGCTTAAGAACGGCTCAACGGATTCGACGAAGGAGCGTCCGGAGGGCTTGCGGCAACTAACATGTGACGACCCCGGGCTGGACTCCGCTTCGTCCACGGTGAAAGCCGATCCTGAGATCCACAGCACAAAGTTGATGTATTTCCTCAGCGACCAGCACGGATCAGCTCCAGGCATGACGAAGCGGATATCGTCCTCTTTTGGAAGACCGTTACGCCTTCTTTCTTTGCTTGAACATTTGGGCGGTGTTATGCAAATCTTCCCAGATCGTGACGTAGGTATGTGGGGGCGTGTTAGAACGAGCCGTTTTAGGTAGGCGTGGTTGACTCTTAACTTTTATAAAGAATATCTCTTTGGATTTGAGACTTTAGTCTTTGCAACTTTACAGATCTTCTTTATGCACCAAGAGCTTGTAACACTCCAAAGAGAAAGGAAAAACTTAAATCGCATCATATGACCCCTTTAATGTACTTTAGAGTTTTAAAGCCAAATAACCCTGTTGTTATGGCTTCTAAATGTACCAGCACAGTGAAGATGATGATGCCATGCAAGGATATTGCTAATGTGTCTAATGTGAACTCCTATTTTCTTTCTTGGAATGTATTCATGATAAACTAGAATTTATTTTTTTTCTTTCTCATTTTTTATATTTCCCTGCAGGATCTGACTCGCCATCCTCCTCGACACCTGAAGAGGGCGACACTGAGGATGACGGTCAAGCAGTGAGTGTTTATATCACATCAAAGTGCTTCAAAGTATCTGGTTCATCTTTGTGTCGGTCTGAGAATTACTTCGTGCCTAGATACTCATGAAGTCACGACAGACATTGGAGTCAATACATCAAAATAGACTATTTATTTTCCTATATGTTTCTGGTCTTATTGTGCATGATTCACTGGTGCATGTCATTTCAAAGAAAATTGTCTTTGTAATCCTTAAAATTAATCAAAATGTACAGTAATAACTTGGTTTGCCGTTTCCTGTCTAAAATCTTGACAATAATTTAGTTTTTATTTTATTTTATACTTTTTAAATGAAGTCAAAGCAGAATTAGTAAATGACTCATTCATAAAACAAGACAATCCAAACTACACTTTTGCACCTTCTATCCTCCATCTTGCTGTGTAAGCATGAGGTGGTTCTGCATGTTTGATGACTTGCAGTCTGTCTCAGTCTCATACAGGGAGTGAGTCGTCATCCAACAGCAGAAAAGAGATGCTGCCCAAACCCATTACCATTGTGACCAGTGAGTCCTCCTCCACCTGTTTTGTGCACTCCACAGAGGAGTTTGCGTATGGGACAGGGCATGCTGTCACGACGCAGACCCCGGCCCAGGTAAAGGATTCACATTGCTTGAAAGTTGATTCCAGTAAGTTGATTCTGGTATGTTGGTTAATGCCATGTCTATGTGTCCACAAAGGGAAAAATCTTTAAACAATCTAGTTTAAAAAACACACACACATTCTCTTTGTATTCATGTGGTTTAAAAAAAAAAACTACAATTTTCAAGAAACGGTGTAGATTAATGAAAAAAATGTCATGTGGTGCAACCATCAATGTAAAGTAATACAATTTGAATATATATGAATTATTCATCTTAATAATTATGTACAAAAAGCTTTTAAATAAATATATAATTTTAAGATATATATATAAATATCATGAATTTCTAATTAATACTACATTTGTTGGGAGTTGCACCGCATGACGACCAACAAGCTTGATTTTTTTTTATTTGTTGGACAAAAGTTAGCAATGTCTTAGCAATGCCAAGTTCATAGGGAAAACAAGGTCTGAAATAAAATGTGTACTTTGAATGGAATGTAGGTCATTTTGGATAAAAGTGTATGTGCAATGTATAAAAAATGTAAATATGTTACAAGGCATTTTATTGTATTTTTTAATAAATGAATAGGTCCAAAACTAAAAAAAACCGAGCGTCATGTCACTGCCTCTCCAGCATTATATTTAACCCTTGCTCTTTTCTCACCAACCTGCGTGCCCAACACCGTGCCGGGAGTGCCGTCGGCCAGCGGCTCCCCACAGGAGACGGGCAAAGGCTCGCCCTCTCCCTGCTGCATCCACACCTCGCTCGCCACGCCCCGCTCTCGGACTCGCAAGCGAGGGGGCAGTGGAGGGGAAGCCATCTCGCCTGACGACGACAGCTCCTGCCCGCAGGGCTCCTCCTCTTGCTCGTCACGCTGTGTGTACTGCCGCTCCGTCTTCAGCGCCTCAGAGAACGGACGGGGCCGCTGCCGGGACGCTCCCGACCCGGCGCTACACTGCCTGCGCCAGTGGACGTGTGTGTGGTGCGCAGAGAGCCTGCTCTACCACTGCATGTCGGACTCCGAGGGCGAGTTCTGGGAGCCGTGCTCGTGCGAGGACTCGATGGGCCGGCGGCCGCACCCGCTGTGCTGCGCCCGCTGGATGGCGCTGTTGGCACTGTCTCTTTTCGTGCCCTGCATGTGCTGCTACCTGCCCCTGCACGCATGCCTGCGCTGTGGGGAGAGATGTGGCTGCTGCGGAGGAAAGCACAAGGCCGTGCGATGAGGCCTAACCGGGGGGAGGGCGTGTGGGCGGGGCTTATTGTGACGGGACGGGAGCACAAAGACGTTGTCGTCATTCGAGGAACAGCCGTAGAGCCAGATCTCCTACATAAACCTTCACGATAATATCCCCTCACCCCCTCCGAGGCCGTCTGCTGCATTCCGCTCTTCTCTGCTCGGACCCTTCACGCTCGTACCGGTGGTGGGTGCATGGGTTCGGGAAGATCGCTTTCTGATTTGCTGGTCGTTGGGGTCAGGGGTCGTCTCCGGGAGGTGGGGAGTGAATGGGGATCAGTGACGTGTAAACAATTGTTAGTTTTTTTTTTCTCTTGGGTTTTATTTATTTATTTAATTTAGGGAGAAAAATGAGATGAAAAATGTTTATAGCTATGGTTATCAGATCTTTTTTGAGTATATTATTTTACTTGAACTATTGAAATATATTTTTTGGCAATTGATTTAATGAATACACTCCCCTCGTACCTCTAAGTTACTGAGTTTTACCTCAATGTCCAGTGGAGAGGAAGGCAGATAGAGAAAGAGACACTTATTTCGGGGACTGTGTGCTGTGGTGAGGTTTTGTATATGGTCTTTACGGTAGGTTTTTCACACACGTTCGGCCAGAACATATTTGTGAAGGAGAACATTTTGATGTCATATCACTTTTAGTTGTTTGAGAACAGGGAACGTGAACGGTCTGATCGAGGGCAGTTTCACCAAAACCACATACATACTTTCACCACATACATGTCATTCTTCTGTCAAGATTATAGTTGTATTGAACTTGCCAGCAACCAAGAATGTTGCCTATATTTGACCAAAAAAAGTGGAGAGATAATCTAGACATGAATCTGCCGAACATTTGCACAGCAAATGTGAACCGAGGCCTTGAAATATAGTTGAACACACCACCAAAAATACAGTGCAATTAGTTATTAGTAAGAAGTAAAGAATAAAAAGCAAAGGCTTGTTGTGTGTGACACAACATTTTAACTTTATCTGTCAGTATGGCAACAAGAGAAGTACTCAATCATTAACTATAACGAGTAACACTGCTCCTCACGTGTGCTTTTGAGCCATGCCCTAAACAGAGCAACGAAGTGACAGGACATTTTGTCTGTGGAGTTGTGCTGGGTAGCCCCGCCCACAGTGAAATCCCATTGGTCCAGAAACATCAGCTACGTTCTGACTGGCTCTGACTGTATTACAGTATATTTTGTTTTCACTGTGGACAGACAAATGACTTGACGCTGAAAACTTCGTCGTCTGGCTAAAGGACACAAGAATTTAGACCAATCAGTTCAAACACTGCCTGGCATAACGATTTGGACCTCAAAGTGTTAAGAAATATTGCTTTAAATATCTCAAAGCTGCTATTTCAACTCCCCTAAACTTGTCATACCTCGCTGCTAGTAATGAGGAGTTAGGGAATCAGACACAGCCCTGTAGTCCATTTTTGAGTTAGGAACACATTGATGGTTTCTCCATCAATGTTGTATTAACTGCTCATTAGAGTCACTTTAAAAGAAAAGGGTTTTTACAGCAAGATGAGCCACTAGACCATTCGATCTACACACATGCATTGTATTTCATTGTGCATCTGGAGTCCATTTTTGAAGATGTGAAACATTCTCTCACACACACACTCTCACTCACTCTTTATGGGCAGAATATTAGACATGAGTAGAGAAACACAAAAAGCCCCAAAAATAGCACTGGAAAAAAGAACTTTGCGAGATGAGACCACCCTTGAGGGCCCTAGTCATACATCCTATTAATAAACGTGCCTTTTGATTTATTTAACCAATAACCTATAATTTCTAAGTAACAACATACCTAGATACTCATTTTCTTTTTCGGGTTGTTTATTTCTGCCAATGTGCATATTTTAATATGTATGTGTCTATTAGTTTGAAAAGTAATCAATGGAAAATATTACCTGTTTATATATTTATTGAGATATTTATTCTAATTCTTTATTTATTTTTGGAGACGGGTTTTTATTTTCTGTGCTGTCTTACTTCTCTGACTTTGTGCCAATTTGCTGCTTTGAGGTGTTACATATCGTGGGTTTGTATCATTAATTAAACCCTAACTCTATATTTTAATGAAAAGTTTGCACTCTGATTCGTGTTTACATGTGATTATGTACACTAATACTGGGATGGCATCATTCAGCATTCACTCATAACTACAATATCAGGTGTATTAAAGCACAAGATAGCAATAGTGCATTGTGCTCCATTCAAACATCCAGTTGGAACAGGGCGAATTTCACGAAGAAATGTCTAGGTCATATTTCGGCCCGTTTTCAAAGGAAACACATCAGAATTTATATTTTGCATAAAGACAAGTAAATTCATATTTTCATGACAATAATCTTCCCCCCAAAACACAGTAATGAAAATTCTGTGCAGTCAATATTTTTCAAATTAAAATCTTTTATAATTATTATATTTAACAAACACTACCTATATATTCATGTAATTTAAATAATATACAATTTTGTATTACAGTGGTCCACACTGGACTGAATGTCCTTGATTGTCATGAAAATAATGTAAAATATATATATATTTTCTTGAAATAAGAGCCAGACAATTCCTTACAGTTCTGTTTGATATACATTCAATCATAACTGTGACCAGTAGGCGGAGCCAATTTTCACCACGCACATTCTTGATTGTCCACAAGGGGGCGCCTCAGTCAGTGAAATTCAATTCCAGAACCCAACTAAACTCAATTAAAAAGCAAGTAGAAGAATTCTATTGAGAGTTTCACATTTATTTAAAAATGGTATGGAGAAAATATAAATACAGAAGAGCTGGATGGACAGAAAAGGTCTTAAAGTGTGAGCATGTACCCATGTGTGAGCTCAGGACAGGTGCTGGCGCTTGTGTTTTAGGATCTCTGTTGAGGTGAGAGTCAGGTCTTTATTACAGATGTCACAGTGGTAGACCCTGGTCAGACACGATGAAGATGATGAGGATGTTTTTTCACTGTCAGACTCTGTGAAAACAAAGAAAAACATTGACTGATATTGCAAATCTAGAGCATTTTCAAAATAAAGGGTGAAAATACTATTGCTAAGACATGAGAAGATTTAAATATGATTTGTATTAGAAACCAACTGATATATATCAGTGTCATTTTATTATCATTAAGATATTATAATGGCTATAATAGTAATAATATAATATTTAACATAATATTTTGAATTATTTTTCATTTTATATTTTCCATATAAAGTTTTAATAATTTTGTTTTTGTAATTTTTTTTAGTTGTAATACATACATATACATATATATATATATATATATATAAATATATAAATAAATGGCTGATATTTGGCCACTTAAGAGATTATTGCCGATATATGTACCTGC